TCCTTTCCTCTCTCTGAAATCAATAAAGATATATTTTTTTTAAAAAATCTATGTTCATATAAAAAATTTCCTCCCTGGCTGCTCTAGTTTCTCCATATAAAATATTCCCCCCTCCTGTCTTCTCCATCTCAAAGTTAAGGTCAACCTCGCTTTTACTGAGGCTCTTTGGTTACGGCATTCATCTATCTGAGAGCCTAGATGTGCACAGCGCAGCCAACAGGAGGTGGCTGAAGTCCAGGTCCGGCTCACAGGTTAGGGGTTTACGCAACCCGAGTGCCCAGCGGTGCTCCTAGCACTGCTCATTCTTGCAAGCCATGCCACAGGCTCCCGCAAGGCCAGGGCCAAGATCCCTATCTTGGGAGGAAGGCGACCTTGTTCTGAACTTGTTCTTGACCTTCCTGAATGTTCACCTCGTAGGCACTCGAATCAGAATGCTAACTGGTGGTGCAACCAGGAGTGGAGGAGGGCTGAAGAGGGTGCCGCGTCTGCTCACCTCTCACATCCAAGGATGGCATTATTCAAATCCTCATTCACTTGAATGAGCTCAATAGTTACGTCTTCATTTTCCACCACCACGAGCAGGTCCATGATCCGCTCCTGCATCTCCCGACACGTCTTATAAAGTTTCTATCAAAGAAAGGAGAGAGATTTCTTCTTCCATGCTCAGGAACGTTCTATAAAGACAACTGGTTCCGCAGTCTGAATACACCTATGATCGTCTCCCTCCACCTTGAGTCACCTACAGGAGATTACCAAGTAATCTTCCTATCAGAAGGCAGTGAGTTATAAATGATTCTATTTTCCTCTAAAAATCAAAACAGGTGTCATAAGGACAAATTAGTGCACTGCGTGTAACCCAGGACTAGAAATTAGAAGCAGAATATGGGAATTCTAGGCAGAGTGCTTATTAGATGTACTGTTGGGGGTGGGGATCACTGGTTTTCTAAATCTCAATTTTCTCTTATTTTGTTAATCTTCACCTGAGGATATTTTTTCCATTGATTTTTTTTTTTTTTTTTTTAGAGAGTAAAATGGAGGAAGGGGGAGGGAGGGAGGAAGAGAGAGAGAAGGGGGAGAGAGACATAGATGTGAGAGAGACACATCAGTTGACTGCCTCTTGCAACCCAGGTATGTGCTTTTGACTGGGAATCAAACTCGTGACCTTTCAGTCCACAGGCCAACACGCTCTAGCCACTGAGCCACACTGGCCAGGGCTCAATTTTCTCATTTGATAAATGCAAACTATACTACTTGCCGCATCTGTCTCAAGGGTTGACATGAAAATAAAATGAGGAGGGTGGGGGGTGGTGGAGGAGGGTACAGGGGGATAAACGGTGATGGACGGAGACTTGACTTGGGGTGCCGAACACACAGTACAGATGATGTGTTGTGGAATTATGCACCTGGAACCTGTATAATCTTATTGACCAGTATCCCCCCCAATACATTCAATAAAAAGGAAAAAAATAAAAAAATAAAACGAGATGCGCATAACAAAGAACTCTATAGCCATAAAGTACAACATACAATACGAAATGTTATCGTCATTATCAGAGGCAGGGGAACAAAGAAGTTGTTCAAATACATTTATAGCAATGTGATTTTCCTATTATGTTTTACTTAAATAAACATTTAAAATCTACAGCTCCAGCATCACATTCCAAGATAAACGGATCCAGAATTTTAAAGAGTCCTGGATAATATCTTTATTTGGATGACCCAGAATCACGGCCATGAGCCACGACTCCACTCCCCAAACCAGCTGTTGCCTGTAAGCCTCAGAATCACCTACAGCAGACTTACTGATTCATCATCTCTGGGGCTGTGGGTCTGAGAAACTACGTGTTTTTTTAAAGGAGCATCCCAAGTGTTTCTTAAATACACTGACATCTGAAAACTACTGCCTTACAACTTACGTCCTCCTGGGCAAACCCTCACGTAAGCCTGAGGAGCGTAACGCTGATAGTAATATTTCTTCAAACCCACCTTGGCTGGAGTGTGTCCGTGTAATAGTCTAGTAACATCGGGCAAAAACACCGGGATGCCTCCCCTTTCAAAACAAAAGCAGCAGAACTTGCTAAGTCACCGTACTGCTACAATATCTGATATTTTTTCCCCTCAAGAAGGACTCGCTGAAAAAAAGACGCTTCACACCACCATTTAGAGTCTCGAACAGTCTATTACTAGGCTCTGACAGGAAATCTCTAAATAAATAAATCAAACCATTACCAGCTGGCATTTAGACTCAGAGGTAAAAGCCACTACTCTCCACAAAATCATAACAAAAATATGTGCAAGATAAAGGGAAGTGAAAAGCGGGGGAGAAAGCAAGACAGACGGATCGATGCTAGACTCTGGGTTTTAAACCTGCAACGTGCAGCTAGAAAATGGTCCTATTTGCTAAATAAATATTTGGCCACCATCAGCTGTGTTAACCGATTTTTTTCTTAAAGGTCCAGGTCTTAAAATATTTTCTGCTTGGTGGGCCCTATGTTCTCTGTCTGCCTTATGACATGAAAGCAGCCATAGACTAAATGTAAACAAATGGTTGTGGTCATATCCTAATAAAACAAAGACAGGTGGCAAGCTGAATTTGGCTCACTCATGGCTCCTGGTATAGAGTGAGAAGAGACTTAGACTCAGTCGACCTCTCACATAGACATACCTGTGGGATTCAGTTATATTTTAGCTTCAGGGTTTTTGTTTTGTTTTTTTTCATCTTTAAAACAAAGATAACTCCTGGCCGGGCGTGGCTCAGCCGTTGAGCATTGACCTAGGATCCAGGAGATCTTGGCTCGATTCCCAGTCAGGGCACATGCCCGGGTTGTGGGCTCGATCCCCAGTCCGGGGCATGCAGGAGGCAGCCGATCAATGACTCTCTCATCATTGATGTTTCTATCTCTCTCTCTCCCTCTTCCTTCCTCTCTCTGAAATCAATAAAGATATATATTTTTTAAAATTTAATTAAAAACACACACACACACAAAAAGTAACACCAACTATGGAAATGGTGTAGTTGGAATCCCCGGCAGTGTTCAGCATACAGTGGGGAGTCAATAAATGTATTATGATTGTGTAAGAAGATATCAATAGAAGCTTAACTAGATAACTAATACCCTCCTGTAATATTCATGCCACTACCCAGGACCCAATATTATACAAAGGAAAGAACTCAGAATAGCTTTTAATACAATTCCATGACGAACGAGAACTTTTCCTTTGTTCTTGCATTCGTGAGCGTACAGAAATTATTCTTGCTCACCTGCAGCCTTGCTAGAGCAATGTCAAGATCAAGGAAACACAATGGCAGTTAGAGGCCTGTGACCCCCCCCCCAAATTGTTGAAATTAATTTGAAATGAATTTGCAACCAACATCAATAGCTCCGGTCACATGAAAACCCTCCCTTTGCCCTCTGGAGAGGCAGATGGAACAAAAACATGAAAGGAACACCGCATCTCTCAGCAGGGTTGCGGAGCAGAGTTGGAAAAACCTCTTCAAAAGCCAGCCCACTCTGATCTTTGCAATTGATGTCTGTCTCAGAGGAGGGCCGAGCCACCTGGAAAGAGCACAGATCAAGCACCAGGGACCAAAAGGATGGGTCAGACGTTCCCACAGCAGGCACCTGCAGGGCTGAGGATGTGGGAAGCCAGGGGAAGTGAGCAAAAAAACACAGAGTAACAGCTGCCGATGCATATGTCCAGCACGGAGCCCCTGGAATTGCCCCCCTTTACACCATATCAAAGCAGAGGCAGGCTTCTAAGTTAAAGTGAATTGAACGTTCCATTCAAAAGTCTTTGGAGCAAAACAAGGAGCTCATTAAGGGCTTCCTCTTCTGGCATCCAGATGGCTCCTACTCCATACAGTGCTCAGGAATTAAGGAAAGAGGTCCCTCTGCACTTTCAGCTCCAACTCCAACTGTCCCTCATTCACCAACACAGGACAACTCAACACAAAGGAAGGGAAAGGTGCCTGCACATCTCCCTTGAAAAAGTAAATACAGGAACAAACGTGTTTACTCGAAAGCCTTCTCTAGAAATAATATCTGCTTGGCAATACTCCTATTATCAGCCCAAACCATATTTCCTCTCTCCCAGGGTGCTGCCCCCAGGCTGCAAGAGACCCAGAGAATGTATCTGCTCAAAATAGAAACCAACCCCCACCCTGAAACTAAATACTTCTCAGCCTGTCTCTTCTGCCTTACACAGGCCTCAGCTGAGTGAAGGACAAGTTAATTGTCAAGACGATCCCCAAGGTCAACTCATTAGAACCCTTCCGACCTTGTCCCAACTATAAATATTATCAATGTCTGGCTTACCGAAGGCCTTTGTCTTCAGTAACTCCTTAGCCCTTCTTTTGTCCTAAATCATTAGTTAACAAAGAGCATCAATCCATTCAAGGGACATTTAAGGAACTCATTCATTGTACAAAGCATATACTCTAAATATGGAGAGTTGTGTGGATTTAGAAATACAGGACTTGGTAACTGCCTTCAAGTTCCTTCCAACCTAGCTAGAGAGCTAACACATACTCACAAAAAAGACAATCGGTTACCCATCTATACTAGAAGGTTAACCCTGGGTTCACTATGAGAAACCGGGTAGAATGGATAGAACACAGGCTCAGGAGGAAATTCTCACTCCAGCTGCATGCCCTGCCAGTGTGAGCAAACTGATCCGTTTCTGAATATGCAGCCTTATCTCTAAAGGAAGGGAGATGGTCTCAATGACAATGGAAAAGTCCCTTCCACTCTTAATACCTTACAAGCTTCCGAATGTAAAGACAGTCAGAGTGATCAGGGGAGGATGACTTTTTATTTCCTTCTTAAGTTTTTCCCCTCAGCTGCTTACAAATTACCCTCACAGGATCAAATTTTACATGCACATGATTTTAAACTTCCCTAGCAAGTTAGAGGGAGGCTTTCTCTGGACATACTTTGAAAACCAGAGCTCACTTTATTCTGCAGAAGAAAACATTCTGTTCTTTCATTGTCCTACTAAGGCTAGGCGAAAACGAGAAAGACTAAAATGGGAGGTATCAGGGAAAGTCAGCTATTCAAGGTCAGAGTAAGGTGGCCCAGAGCCAAGCGCACAAGGCCAAGAAAGCAAATGCAAGAACTCGTGCGGCAGCATTTCATTCCTGTGACCAGAGCAGACATTTAACTCATCACAACACTCATTAGATGGGACGCAGCCTCGGGATCTTTGCACTCCACTCTGCAAAACGAAAAAAAATCCAGTCTCCCCCTCCCCCCAATGAAGTTCATAGTCCACAAGCAACACAGTGGTGGAGAAAAGTGTTTACTATGAAAAACAGTTTTACTGCCTAAGAGTCTAACAAAGAGCGGGAGCTCCGTTAATTAGCAGAGCTTCAGGATGGAACCGTCCCACGTGGATTTGAGAACAGATCTGGGATTCCCAGTAAGTACACTGGATCTCGGAAGGAAGGAAACAGGATGGAATGGGTTCCAAATAAACAGAACAGCTGCTAGAAGTCAGCGCCAATAGACAAAATAGGAAGCAATTCCAAGTTTAGAGGTTAGCTGTAATGTTAACAAACTGCATTAAGACCTTCCTGATAAAAAAAATGCCTAAAAATGTAGAATATGATATAAAAATGTTTTAACATG